AGAGTATATTAGCCGAGCTCCCGCCCTGGTGAACCACTATAAACACGCTTTTTGTAATCACCCACATATTCCCAAATTCTATTCCCTAGAGCTTTAGAGCTCAGACTGAAGTACATCTAGCTGTTCAATGCACCTTATATTCACATCACTGCTCAATCGTATTAAGAACATCATCAACAATAAACATCTATTACTCTCAACAATTCAAGTACAATTAATACTAGACATGAAATTTTTATATTTGATCAAATTGGGCTCTTTTTCTCATAATTGGCTATTTGACATCTTTTCAGAGATTTTGGGATTTACTAACCTTTAGCTATGTGTTCATCTACTACCAACACTTACGGTCATGTAAGGTCAGTCAAGCTAGCTAGACTCCTAAGTATAAAGAGACATGGTTGGCGTGCACTTGGTTTATGAATTTTCACAAAGATTATATTATCCAAGAATGCAAGGATAAAAGAAAATTGGTTCAAGGATCATGAACTATGACGTATAACCATTAAATTCTCTATCCCCTAATATGACTCATAGTAATGCAGTTAACTTTGATTTAAAGATGAATACACTGCAAATCAAATCAAATCAAATCAAAGTGTGATTAACATAATTAATAATGAAAAACAAACAAAAGAAAAAAAAATTTATTTTATTTTTTTTCAATGTTTTTTTGTTAAAAAAAACATAAAAATAGAAAAATATGCACAACTATGCAATAGCAAAGGAGAAACAAAACAATTAACATAAATCATCAAAGGATGTCCAACTAGACATCAAAAAACTTTTTGAAATTCAAAATTTTTATTTTTATTTTTTTCATATAACAAAAATAAAGTAAATAAACAAAGATAAATTATTTACAATGCACGAACTTAGGGTAAAAGATGCAATGCATGGTAAAACACCTAGGTCTACACCCTCAAATCACCTACCTCTTAGGTGACTCAACCTCCTCGTATCACTGGGGGGCTTTCGATTTGATTGAATAGGTGAGCTTCTTTAAGTCCTTACTACTCTCCCATTCTTGTTTTCCCTTATCTTTAGGGTTAGCTCGGGGCATGGGAGGTGGACTCTCTCTCTTCTCTTCAGAAATCTTTAAGTCTATTTTGGTTTTGGGAGTAGAAATAGTTGTGTTCATCCTAGCTTGTGAGACTTTAGGTGGAGAAGAATTTTTAGGCTTAGATTCACGTGACCTATCCATAAGCTTGGTAAGATATATGACTTAGTCATTCAAGGATTTGTATTGGTTAGCTAGGAGTATGAGCTTCTTATTTATGACATCCCTATTATGCATGCAATGTGCACTATATAGTGACCATGTTCTTCACATGTGAAACACACACGTGAGGGTGATGGGTGGGATTACCTTGTGCAAACACAGTCTTAGAAGGAGTAGAGGTGTTGTGCTCCCTGTAGACAACATTTTCGTCTAGCTTTTCCAACCTTAAGGTATAGTCTTTTAGAGAGTTTTTGTAATTTGTAAAGGTTTCTATCAAGTTTTATCAACTTAAACTCTAGACTATTCTTTGACTTTACAAGCCCATGACATTCAGTCTCTAGAAAGGTCATTTTGTCCTTTAAGGACTTATTCTCTTCCTCAAACCCATAAATATGAGTTTTGGACTTCACAAAGTCCACATGGAGTGCTTGTTTCTCCACTTCATTAGTTTTTGAGCCTTGAGTTCAATGTAAACACTCTGTTCTTGAGTTTAAGGAACTCTTCACACAATTGGTCATAATCTTATGTATCTCCTCAATACTTTCAGTGTCATCCTCACTTGAGGAGACCTCAACATTCAAGTCATCTACCCTCATGATAGGACTTATCCCTTCTTATTTTTTCTCAGTCTCAATTACTCTACTAGAAGTTTTTTTTGGGGAGGTGGAATGTGAGACAACGAAAGTCATAAAGCTTTCTCCATCATCTTGAGAAGAGAATCCTCACTTGATGTAGGTTCGCTTTCACTATTACCCCACCAAGCTTTCATTGCTCTCATCCTTTCTTTGGGCTCATCCTTCTTCTTCCTATTTAGGTATTCCACATCCATGTATCCAAAGCATTGAAGCCTTTGCCCTTTTTCTTTTGAATTTTTCTACCACTTGTTCTATCGACCTTTCTTGGAAACCCTAGGTTTACTAGATTTGCCTTTCAACCAGGAGGACTCTCTAGCTTTAAAATATTTTTGAACTTCATAGCGAGAAATGCTAGGTCCTCTTGTCCCAAGAGAAGTGACTCAGACTCATCTTCATCTTTTCGTATTGAGCTTAAAGTCATGCCCTTTAACTTCTTGGGTGGTAGGAGATTCATCTCAAAATTCAAAATAGACCTAACTAGGTCTTCTACGGATACCTTATCTAGATTGACTCCCATCTCTAAGGCCGTCACCTTAATATGAAACCTCTCTGGTAGAAATCTTAATATTTTTCATTTTATTGCAAAGTCCTCATACTTGGAATCGAGCACAAAAGATGAGTTGACAAGGTTCCTCAACTTAGCATAAAAGCTACTAAAAGTTTCGTCATCTCGCATCATCTCGAAGTGAGAGGTGTACCATTGGAGCTGGGACATCTTCATTAAGGGCGTACCTTCATGAGAAAACTCTAGAATGTCTCAAACTTCCTTGGAAGTCTCACAATTAGAGATTCTCTGGAAGTCATTAGTAGAATGACATTGAATATCACATTCAAGTTTTTTGAGTTCCACCCCGCACATTCATACTCGTCTTAGTCCATGTGCTAAGGGGTCATCGTGTTGGTCACATTTGTAGTCATATCATAAGAGAGGTCCAACCTTCCAACACCGACAACCACATGCGTTCATCAGTAACTTTAGGAAAGCTCTCATTTGTGCCTTCCAATAAGTATAATTCAGCCCATTGAAGAGTGGTGCTCATGTAACTAAATCCATTCGAGACTAACTTGTAGTCACAATAGTTCTTACAGCAATAAAAAAACTATGTTCGTAATACCTACAAGTGTCTATATGCAATCCTACAAGAAGACCTGCTCTGATACGAATTGAAAAAAATGCGATGTGTGGCGGATCGTCCTTCACGATCACTAAAAGAATAAGGGATTTTGCTTAAGCTCTTTTCTAAAACAAAAGGTATTGATGCCAAATTGAAAAATAATTTGATGGGACAAAGTAAAAAATTCAATAGTTTAAAGGTAAAGTGAAATGAAGTCCATAATTTAAGATTCAATAGTTTTAAGGGTAAAGTGAAATCAAGTCCATAGTTTAATGGACCAAAGTGTAATTTGACCATTTTGTCACTTAAATATGAATGGTTTCCTCCTAATTGATTCTCAAGTAGTTTGGTCCGGTTGTCAAGATGACAAAAGAAGACCCTAATTAAGCCCGTAATACGAGATTTATATTTATTGATTAGACACTACACAGACTCTAATCCAATGTTGTCTCCTGCAACGGCATGATTGGCAATGATGGCTTCCAACTTATAACCCCATAATGAGTGGTGGCCCCAACTTGGTTACCAATGATCTGATGCATCATGTGGTGGGCCCCCACGTCTTCGCCATTGGCACGTCCCAACAATTCACCTAGATGGCAGGAAATCAATCCCAAGAGTTCTTGTTACGAAGCCAAATAACTGTTAGGTTAATTTTTTAGATCTCAATAATATTAATTAAAAATTTAATAGTTAATTTAAACTAAATAATTGAGTCAAGCAAATTTTATTTCAAGTTTGTTTTATAATTAGTTAATTTTATCAAATATTTATATACACAAATATGATTCTGGCCGTATCATAATCAAATAGAATATTAATTTATTTTCATAAAACACGAAACTAACTAATAAATTATAAATACAAAAATTTAACAAATACTTAACATGAAAATAAATAAGCAAATAAAAAACTATAATATCCGGAATCCTTTCCTTGTAAATTGTAATCATCGGCACCATAAAACCACACCATCTCTTTCTCTAATTTAAGTTTGCAATTGATAATGTTCTAACCAATGATCAAACATAGCTAACCCCTTGGAGTCTTTTCTTAGGGATCCAAAGTATTCAGCTTTTATCGTCGCTTAGCACAATATTTTCCAAGCAATATAAACTTTGATATAAACCGTAATATTTCTAAATTATATCGTCCCACCTACGTCATCCCCGCATTGTCTTGATTGAGCATGGGTTTGACTGGCCTCAAAACTTAAAATACTTATATTAATTTTTTTTTTTTTAAACTGTTGCTCACCAAAATTTTTCTCAATGTTAATTTAGATTCCTCTCTTTAATTACCAGATTCAAATCAAGAGGGTGGGGTTACCACTTACCAATCAGTAGCTTCAGATTCAACACAGAAACAAACAAGATTTGGCTGGAATAGAGACGAGGAAAGAGCTTAAATGTTAGAGTTTCATTTGTGTAATAGAAAATATAAAAATAATGAGTAAAAAACAAATATATATCTATATAATAAAGTATAACGAAGTTTGAATTTAAGAGACAAAGAGTGGTTCAGATCGTTTTAAGACAAAACATAAACACATCCAATGGACAATATAATTTCAACATAAAAAATGGTTCAAATCATCTCAAAAATTTTGATCAACCAGTCAACAGTGAGTACTAAATTACCATTTCCTGCCCATGAAGAAGCGTCTTTTCGTAAGACTCTATGCTTTTATCTTTTATACGTCTTTATCTCTCCTGATATCTCTCTTATCCCAGTCTCCCTTCTTCAACGTAAATGCAGCTTCTGTTTCCTCTCCCCATCGTCAATAGCATCGCAACGCTAAGGCACCGTGATCCAGGTATGCCTCCCTCTCCACCCATCTCTCAAGGTTTGTGTTTATATGTGATATCATCTCTTGACACACACTGACACACCCATTTATTGATTTTGTTTTAGATCTGTGTTAATTTATCTTAAAGAAATTTAGGGGTGGGGTGGGGGAAGATTTGTGAATTGAATTGTTTTGAGTGAAAAATGAACTGAAATGATTGTACATGTTTGTGAATATAGAGGTCCAAGTGGAATTCATGGAGAGTTCCATGGCCGGAAGCACTTTGTTTTCCACGCGCGGAGGGTGAAGTCAACAGCTTGATACAACAAGTGACCGATGATTATGGATTGGAGGTGTCAGTGGGGCTTCCGCAGCCGACAGCGATTGGATCAGAAGATCAAATTGTAGACGTTGTCGGAATTACTGAGGAGGTGTTGGCGTTTGCAAGGAATATTGCACATCATCCAGAGACTTGGTTGGATTTTCTGTTATCGGAGGAAAAAGACATTAACGGTATGCGAGTGATTTTTGATTACCTAATGCTCATTCATTACAGTATGTGATGATACACAAAATAGTTTTGCACACCACCTGTCAAGTGTGAGTAATAAATGCAAGAAAATAATATCAGGAGATGGAGAGACACAGGCAAATTATAGTGGTTTGTTCTGTTCGACCTACATTTAATCTTCAATGGCTCTGGTTGCCAAGTATTTTATTAACTCAAGGGTGTGGGAAGTAGAGAGTACAAGGTTTGAAGGAGAGAAGAGAGTCGTGCACAGGTAAAGTATAATCTGCCCCCCAAGTGTTTGTGGGGCTTACAATTTATAGTCACCCTCCTAACAAATTTGGGCAAGATATTAGTAAGTAGTTGGCTAGTTTGTTGGATTTGGCGAGCTCTTCTCAACGTGCTAGGCAGTTTGCGTTGCTCTCTATGAGATTCAGTCAAAGGATGAGGTGGGGTGTTGACCAACTCCAGGGCAGCGAGGATAGGGCTTTGGATGACCTTGCTTACTCCCTTACCTCCTTGAGCTATTGAGCTTGACCAGGCTGACCACACTGATAAGCTTGAACGGGTTGAGCTGATGAGCTTGATCGAGTTAGCCACATTAGGCTGGATTTGTTAGATCTCTTGGAGTCGGACTATAAACTTGAACTAGGTTTATAACATGAGTTGGGTCTTTGGGCTTGGCCCATCATTTGCTCCCCAATGCCCTGTGTCCAATGGAACTTGGAAAGGAGGCCATTCGATTAAGTTTGAATTTTTGGCTGATTAGCACAATTGAAAAAACTTTGAGAGGACAAAACATCTGCGTTCAAGTCTTTTTTGGACTTTTTATAGAATCAGTCGTAGCCAAAGGCTATGTATCTTGTAGAGCTCATCGAGAATTTTGATTTGATATATTATAAGCCTCATTTGGAGTAACGGAGCAGAAGTTACGGTCAAAACTTTGAGCAGAGAACTAGACGAGTAGTTTGGGTGAGCAGGCAACTTCGGGGTGACCTGGGCACTGCCCTGGGCGTTGGGCATAATTTTTTTTTTTTTTAAATTTTGGGAGGCCAAAACATTTGTTTCTGGGTCTTTTTTGGAATTTTTACACCATCATTCACAGTTATAGGTTATAAGTCTTGTAGGGCTCATCGAGAGCTTCGATTTAATATATAATAAGCCCCTATTTGAAGTTACAGAGTAAAATTTATGGTCAAAACTTCGAGCATGCAGCTAGGCGCGCGTTTTGGGCTAGCAGACAGTGTTTTGGGCAAGCCTGGGGGTGCAGCCTGGGCGCCTACAGGAGCTGAAGGTGTAGCCTGGGATGTTTGGGCATTAGGTGATGGAGGTGCAGTCTGGGATGTTTAGGCATCAAGAGATGGCGGTGCAACTTGGGATACCTGGGCATCAGGAGATGAAGGTGCAACATGGGATGTCTGGGCATCAAGAGCTGGAGGTGCAACCTGAGATGTCTGAGCATCAGGAGATAGATGTGATGCCTGGGCATCAGGAGCTGGAGGTGCAGCCTGGGATGTCTAGGCATCAGGAGATGGAGGTGCAGCCTGGAATGCCTGGGCATCAAGAGCTGGAGGTGCAGCCTGGGATGTCTAGGCATCAAGAGATGGAGGTGCAACCTAGGATACCTGGTCATCAAGAGTTGGAGGTGCAGCCTGAGATGTCTAGGCATCAGGAGATGGAGGTGCAGTCTGGGTTGACTGGGCATCAGGGGCTGGAGGTATAGTCTGGGATGTCTGGGTATCAGGAAATAGAGGTATAGCTTGGGATGCCTAGGCCATCATGAAATGGAGGTGCAGCCTGAGATGTCTGGGCATATCAGGAGCTAGAGGTGCCACTTTAGGCACTGATCTGGGTGCCTTTTGGAGCTGTTTTGTGCAATTTTAGAGGGCCAGGCAACGTTGGGCTGTCCCGTTTGGGCGAGCAAAGGTGGTAAGACACTTCTTCAAGTGCTAGGCTGCCTCGTTTGGGCCAGCATAGAGTGTTAGGCACCCCTTCAGGTACTGGGCTGCCTCATTTGGGCAAGCACATAGGATCATGCACCTCTTCAAGTGTTGGACTGCCTCATTTGGGGAGCACATAGGATCAGGCGCCTTTGGAGCTGTTTTGTGCAACTTTGGAAGGCCAGACAGTGTTGGGCTACCTCGTTTGGGTGAGCAAAGGTGGTCAGGCACCTCTCCAAGTGCTGGGATGCCTCGTTTGGGCAAGTATAGAACGTCAGACATCCCTCCAAGTACTGGGCTGTCTCATTTGGACGAGCACATAGGACCAGGCACCTTTAGAGCCTAGTTGTGATGACAAAAATAATGTTATTTCAAACATTAAAATATCTCACATAATTACCTATAGGGAGAGGTAGGCTGCTTGTGCGAGAGCAAAGACAGAGTTGGAGAAGTGCTCGTGAGAGAGCTACACCTTTTGAGACCTATCTTTTGGCGACTCATGAGAGGGTCTTTAAGCTTGAGGTATAAGCTGCATGTTTGAGAACAGCGCAGATGTCAAATTTTTGGCGACCCGTGAAAGAGCCGATTAACTGGAGATATAGGGTGTCTGTTTAAGAATAGTGCAGATGTCAAGCTTTTGGCGACCCCCGAGAAAGTCGCTAAGCTGGATATTGAGACTGCATGTTTAAAAACAATGCAGAAGCCAATCTTTTGGTAACCCGCGAGAGAGTCGCTAAAATTGATATTGAGGCTGTCTGTTTGAGAATAACGCAGAGGCCAAGCTTTTGGCAACCCGTAAGAGAGTCGCTAAGCTGGATATTAAGGCTACCTGTTTGAGAACAGTGTAGAGGCAAGCCAAGCTTTTGGGTACCCGTGAGAGAGTTGCTAAGTTGGATACTGAGGCTACCTGTTTTAGAACAGTGCAGAGGCAGGTCAAGCGATCCGCGAAATGATTCACCTTTCCTAGACCTGTTGATTTCCTCAGCATTCATATATTTTTGAGCTTTTGCCAATAGTTCTGGCATGCTCTTTGGTGGTCGCTTCATTATTGAAAAAAGGAATCTGAATGAGTAGAGGCTTCCTAGAAAAGTAGTCATGGTGACTTTATCATTAGGCTCCTCAATTTGGAGGACCTCCTCAGACTCTCATCTCGATCTTGTTTTATGTTGAGCAGATGGGTGGCAGGCTTTGTTGGTGGCGTCCACCAATGAACTATGCCACAAATGATCTACTCAATTCGGCGAAGGAGCCTATGGAGGCCAGGGTGAGTTTGGCGAACCATTGTCGTACTGATCCCTTCAAGGTAGTTGGGAATGTCATACACATAATTTTCGTCGAGAATGTTGTGCAGTTATATTAAGGACTTGTAGGTTTCGAGATGATCAAGTGGATCCTTCGTTCTGTCAAAGGTCTCCACGGATGACATTTTGAACTTTTGAGAGAGGGGGTAGTTCGCCACTTCAAGTTTGAAAGGCGTGTCTGTCTGCCTTATGAGATAGTCCACTATCTTGGGTCCTTGCGCTTCATGGCGTTGAAGATGTCACCTAGTTGATTTTTCACTTCCTTAATTTTCTCGTTCTAGTGATTGGGGGCTCCTCTGGAATGTTTATGAAAATGACTCTCATGCTCCATGCTTTAGTTTTCACCCTCATCTTCTTGGAGATGAGGGTCTTCACCTGGGAAGTAAGAGGAGCTGTAGGAAAAGATGAAGGTCTCTCATGATGGGCTCTCTTGTGTAGGGCGCCCAAAAGGACTCCAAAGGGGGTGCCCAGACCTACATGGGCGCCCAAATAGGGAGCAACAAGTTGTGGAGCTCCTTGATGTCTAGGGCATGCAACTCTTTGATGTTCAGGGAGTGCAGCTCCTTGATGTCCAGGACGTGTAGCTCCTTGATGTCCAGGGCCTGCAGCTCCTTGATGTCCAGGATATGGAGCTCCTTGAGATCCTCCAAGCTGCTGCTGCATGGTCTCCAACATTTGCTGAGGATTAGGAACTGGAGCATTTGGGATAGAGTTGACAGGTGGAGGAGCAACCTCCTCCTCTCATTGTAGATTATCCTCAGGTTGATTCATGGATCTAGGGGTGATCACCATAGGTTCAACAGAGGGAGTGTTTAAAAGTGAGAATTTAGTTGTTCTCACAAACGGCACCAAACTGATGATGCACAAAATAGTTTTGCACACCACCTGTCAAGTGTGAGTAATAAATGCAAGAAAATAATATTAGGAGATGGAGAGACACAAGCAATTTATAGTGGTTCGGTCAGCTCGACCTACGTCCACTCTTCAATGTCTCTGATTGTCGGGTATTTTATTAACTCAAGGGTATGGAGAGCAGAGAGTACAAGCTTTGAGGGAGAGAAGAGAGTCGTGCTCAGGTAAAGTATGATTTGCCCCCCAAGTGTTGGTAGGACTTATAATTTATAGTCGCCCTCCTAACAGATTTGGGCAAGATATTAGTAAATAGTTGACTAGTTTGTTGGATCTGGCGAGCTCTTCTCAATGTACTAGGCAGTTGCGGTGCTCTCCATGAGATTCGGTCAAATGATGAGGTGGGGTGTTGACCATCTCCAGGGCAGCAAGGATAGGGCTTTGGATGACCTTGTTTACTCCCTTAGCTCCTTGAGTTGCTGAGCTTGACTAGGCTGACCACACTGATGAGCTTGAACGGGTTGAGCTGATAAACTTGACTGAGTTGGCCACACTGGGCTGGATTTGCTGGATATTTTGGAGTCGGACTATAAACTTGAACTGAGCTTATAACATAAGTTGGACCTTTGGGCTTAGCCCATCAGTATGTATTTTGTGTGGGATTAATTACTTTTGACCTCTATGATATGGATTAATCGTTTAGTTTTGGATATATGGGCCAATAGCCATGATATGATTAGTTAAGTTCAATTATGTTCTCTGCTCTAGATTAGTGACGTTCAATTACGCTCTCTACTCTAAGTTTGTTCATAATTTAACAGAAGCTTAATAATTAGATTTACTAAGCTCTAGATTAATTTTTTTTTAATTAAATTTTGATTTAATTTTCTTTATTCTTTTAAAATATTTGGACAAAATTTTCCCTAAAAATATGACCTCAAAAAAATATCAACATGTATAAACAA